CGCGGAAGGACCGGGCTGGGGGTTGACGGGTTAGGCGCTCGAGGGAGACCACGGCTGGAGGGACCGGGGCTGGGCGGGAGCGGGGGGGTCGCTGGGTCCCCCCCTCCGGCCCCCCGCAATGAAGAGGGTCCTTCACGGAACTGGGGTGAGGCGTGCGGGTCTTGGGGAGTCCGGCGGGGGTCGGGGGGGCCGGAAGTGGGCTTGGGAGCTTGGAGGGCGTCTAGGAAGAGAGAAAGTGGGGGGCCGGAAGTGCAGGTGGGGGGTGTGAAGACGGCAAGGGTTCCCCGGAAATGGGATAGGGGGCCCGGAAACCGGGAGAGGGGAGGTTCCAGGGCCAGAGACGGCCCGGAAATGGAAACTAGGGAGCAGCTCGAGTGACAACAGTTGTGGGAAGCGAGGGTCAGAGGAGGGAGAGGCCGGAGTGACTTTAGACCGCAGTAAGGGGTTTCCTGCCCTGGGGGACGGTTGAGGGCGGGCGAGGCCGGGGACGGGGTCTGCGGTGGGCAGTTGTTTCAGCCGTGGGAAGTTGAGGCTGAGGGAGGATGACGCCGAGAGGGGCATGCAAGGGGGCGTGAAAGAGGCCGAGAAACTTGGCGGAGAGGAGCAGAGCATCCTTCTAAATAGATCAGCGTGGAAATTTGGGGGGAGGGGGTTAGGACCTGTGGGAGGGAGGTGGGCCAATTGTCACTCCAATCGTATTAGCATTCAAAGCGAGTCAGGCGATTAATTTATTTATATGTGGATTACATAAAAGCTATTATAACGTTTGTCCATTCAGTTCACCGTCTCTCCATCCTCCCCACAGTGAGTGGGGTTTCTAGTTTTGAAACAAGTTAGAGGGGAGCTGAAGTAATGAAGGATGTGAAATCCCCAATCCTGCCCTTCTCCGTGTCGCTCCCTTCCTCAGAATAAGAGAAATCCTAAATTTGCTAGAGGAAAAAAGATTTAAAAACACATGCCAATTGGGGGTGGGGTGGGGGAATAACTTAGACTTGTGAACTCCTGCTGGGGGACGGGAGAGAATAGGTTACCCCGTGTGGCGAGGAGAGAACGGAAGGGGCTGCTCCTAACCCTAAAGACAGATTTGTTTGTTTTTGATAATGTTTTACTTTGTCTGGGGGAAGTTTAGCTTAAGCTTGGTGTCTGGCGGTGGGGATAGTTTAATTGCTTCGTTAATTGGGGGAGGGAATGTGTCAGTGTGGGAACGTTCGTGTGTGTGTGTGGGTGGGGGGGAGGGGGGCGTTTAATAGCGCAGCGACTGTGTTCCAAGTGGACGTCTAACTGCTCCCCTGCTGTCTCCCTTCCTAGTCGGTGTTCCCCGATCTTGCCTGGGCTGCCAGATCACCCGATCCCGGGGCTTCCCTCTGCTTTGTAGGCCCTTAAGTGATGTATTTAACTTTCTCTTCCTCTCCAGTCTCTTTAGATATTTTTGGCGTTTCGTTTCTTAAAGATCCGGAAAGTTGAGGCTCAGAATCTCCTCTCTCAAAACAAAAATACGAGGTAGAAAGTTGAAAGAGCTATTGAGTGGGGTAAAAAACCGACGCTGGGAACAAAGGTCCTAGTTGTTAGAGAAAAAGGCAGGAGGCCTATATATGAGGCCTGTGTGCGTCGCATTTGCACCAGGGGGGAGGGAAGCAGTTAGGGTTGAGGAGTGGAATTATCAGAGGTTCAGAGACAGTAAATTGCAGAGGGATTTATTGAGGCTTATTTTCATATTTACAACATGCAAAGAAATCAGTATTAAGTGTGAATTTTATAGTAAACACAGTTTCCAAATCTTTTACAAACACCCTGCTCTATGTTAGCCCCAGAAATACTGAATTAGTGTGGCTTTTATATCATCTTTGTGAAATGGTTTGAGGAGTTTTTATTTCATTTATTTTAAGCTTGAAGAGAGCACATTAACGTGTCTGGGGTTTGTGGGCTTTGTCCACCTCTGCCTTTCTATGAATGTGCCAGTATCCATAAGAATGGTAGAACTGTAATTAAGATTATCACTGTTTCAATTTGCTTCCTAGTTTTTCTGGAGTTTGAATGGATTTTAAGTCTGCTCAGCTGACATTTATTATTTAGTGTCCATGAACAGGCTATTTGTTTTATTTTTCACTTATTTTCTGAAAGTTTTGGGGCACTTCTGGCAGTTAGAGTTCCTGATGGTGCTAAACAAAAAAATATTTTTAAGATAAATGGATACTAGGCCAGGGTAAAATCAATGCTTTCACCTAGCAAAGTAAATTTGAAGTAATGTTTACTTTTCCATTCTAACTTTTAAGCTTACTGTATTTGTTATCTGGGTATGGTTTTATGATCCAGTTTAAAGGACATCATCCTAGCAAAGAAGACACATTCTGGCCTGGGAATTCACAACACTGCCAGTTAGTTACCTGTGTGATCTTGAGCTACTCTCTGACTCCTTTTCTGGTCTCCATTTATTTTATCTGTAAAGTCGGATCCCCATTTTACCTACTGGGTGGTTTTGAGATCCAGTGGATATAATGGCTGTGAAAAATGACAAACTGGTAAATAAGTGTAAGATATTGTCACTAGTTTCAGAAAAATTATCTGTTTTGAGGTCATTAAACAAAAGATAACAGCTTTCATTAGTAGTGGTGGTGGGAGGTGTTGATGTAAGGTAGTTGAAGATGGGAAGCTGTAGCACTTTATAATTTGAAATTGAAATTGCTGCTACATTGGGTAATAGATCTTGGGCCCAATTTTTATGTTCCAGGTTTTTTTTTTTTTTTTTTTGCATCCACTTGCTACGTTTTCACCATACATTTTTAATTTTGTTTGGGGAAACTTCAGACAAATTTCTTTGCATTTTTATTGTGGGTAGAATTAATACCTATTCTGGTTTGTGGCTCTTAGGAAATTGACTTTCTAATATCAGAGACTACAATTAAAGAAAAAACACTTCTGAATCTTGATTTGCTTTCTTTACAGAATCTGGGGGGGGTTGTTTTTAATTCTTTTAAGTGGATGGGTGGGGATCTTTTTGAGCAAATGTGATACCAATTGTCCTATTACTTATTGTGGTAGGGCCTGTTCGCTGAGGTAGTTTGATGGACTACATTGAAAATGCAACCTGCTTGTTGATTTTCATCTTCATTCAAGTTTGTGCTGCTGCAAGCCTGACATGCCCTTTTCCCTCATTTGAATCATTTTAGATTTACTTCAGCTCGCCCCTCAGAGCACTTCCTCAAAAATTTCTACCCCGTGATCTTTTCCTTTTATTTCTGAGTTATCTGTATAGACTTCATTTTGGGATTACAGTGCTGGGTTTGTTGACATGTGTTGCTTTTGTTTCCCTGACTGGATTATAGGCTTCCTGAGGGCAAGGATTATCTAAATGTCATTGTGTTTTGCATGAAGGTGCACTCATAAACCTGATAGAAAATAACACCCGTTTCCTTCCTACTCCAGACCAGTAAAGTTAGCTTGGTCTTGCTGACTTTGCAGCCAGTCTTCCTGCTTGGAAAGGTTCTTGGCCCCAGCAGATTCCCCAGGATGCTGTTTGGTTTATGTGATCACAGTCTCTCTCACATCTTCTGACTGCTGTGCCATCAGTGCCTGGACAGGGTGGAAGAGTAAGAATTTGGGGATATTATATAATACATACAATTTGTAGAGTGTTATATAATCTTGGTGCTTGTAGTTCTTAACATGTAATATTAGCTTTCCGTTTGTGTATTCTTTTTTAGTGCCTGGGTGTAGTTCAGACAGCTATATTACAGACTTCCAAAAGGCATAAACCTCTAGCAGTTTGTTCTTTACAGTGTCTACCTGGTCTGCTAGGTAACTCTGCATACGTGGTGGGTACTTGCTGTTATTTGTGGTAAATAGGTGTGCTGATGCTGAACCAGTCTCTTAATTTTTATTTAAGTAAAATTTTAACTTGGCTGATGTCCTGGATTTTTAAAAATGCAGTTCTTTAATTATATCTAGTATCCCAATTTATTGATAGTTTCAGGGTATTTGCAAAAGAAGTTGTTTCCTAAACTGAAATAAGTCTGCTTGATAGTTTTTCTCTGAGGACTTTTAGATTTTGTTTGTAATTCTTGTAGTTCATGAAGCTGAATTGGCCAGAAGCAAAAGGAACTTGTCCATTATTCAGACTTACCTGTTTTATTTTGAGTGCGTGTAAGCTGTTGGTAATAGTCAGTTTTGCAGTTAACGCTTGATTTTAGAAGTCATTCTAGGGGCCTGGAGTAAAAAAGCTGCCTGTTAATCTGTGTTCTTTCATTAGAGAACAGTGTTGTTCAAATGAGTATCTGATCTGAAGGTAGAAGACTTGGGTTCAGTCCTGGCATCGCCTTTCCTATCTTTGTGACCTTGGGCAGATAATTTAAGCTTTGTGAGCTTCAAGTGCCTAATCTGAAAAATTATGTTATTGCCACCTAACCTAGAGTTACTTGTCATGTATATGCTAGACACTGGGTTTAGGAGATCAGGCTACGGTGGTGGACTGGAACACAGAGCCCTTCCTCCACTGGTTCACTGCAGCATTGACACATAGCCTCATTTGTCAACACTGTTTACCTAGAACATACTTTTCTTATATATGTAGGTATCCTACTTGAAAATACTTGAGTATGCAATAGTATTCCTTAGTCAATTATGAACTCTTTGAAGTCAATCTTTCCTCTTTTTTATCACTAGTATCTAGCACAGCGCCTGGCTCATAGTAAGGAATCTTTAAATGTTAATTGAAGGAATAAGTCTTGTGAGAATAAAATGATTCCAAAAGTGAAAATATTCTATAATGGTTTAATGTAATATCCTATTTTATTTGTTTTGATAAACATTTTGGATCACTGTTAATGCTAAAAATATTTTGGGAGTTTTCTTTTTAGTCTATTGGTATGTATTTTAGAGACTGCAAGTTACTTTGAATCAGACATTTACAAAATTTAGGTCAAGTCATTTCATATTCTTTAATTGTCCATTATTTACATGAAATAGTTGATCATTTAACTGCATCATTGAGGACCTGGGTAAGTTTTGAGACAATGTGCAAATTTGTTAAGTACAAAATTGAGTTTTATATAGCATTTTAGCTTATTCTGTTTCATTTTAGAAAGGATGTATTTATTTTATGTATGTAAAATGTTATTACCCATATATGGATTTTTGAAGGCTATTTATAAGCCGAAGTGTCTATCAACAAGCCTTCAAGACCTGAAGTTACAGCATTTCAATGTGTATTTTAATCAACTTGTTGGCTGTCATAACCAATGAGTTCCACCCTGACTTCACAACTCCTACTCATTCCACCCGTGGGCAGATTTCTGAATAAATAGATGTACCTTGTGCTGTTGTCTTAAGGTCAAAGTAACTCGTTTTTAAGTTCTTACACTGGTAAACATGTGTGATGCCCTGGAAACCCGAAGTAAGTTTGTACAGATAGCCTATCTGAAATTCACTGTTGAGTTGTAAT